GCACTACACTACCATAGACGCCCAGAGACCAGTAGGTAGGATAGAGCTCGGGAGCTTAGAGCCCGGTTGGCGCTTTGCCCCGCTGGTGGGAAATATCTGGTTGAGGAAAACCCCGCTAGCCGACGGTAGGTCGGCAACGCGTCGGATTTCGTCATCACTGCCGATCTTGCAAGATCACTGCCACCTCCCAAGAAAAAATTGCTTGCGCCACCACGGAAAAATATTTGTGAGGTAATGTTTTCTGTCGATTATCAGTGACAATACACCAATGAATATTTCGTACTTTAGGAACAATTATACACAATTTTACAAACCAATTTGCAACTCCTGACAAAATTGATATTTTGAAATGTTCAAAACACACAAGTTGTTGACCCTCTCCTGCCATTCTAGCGCATATAGTATTATGCTTACAATTTTTATTTTAATTGTTCGTTTTATTGCATTTGCAGTACAAAACCTTATCGAGTATGATATCCCGAGAATGTCTCTGTTAGTGGTGTGCATCAAATGCATCTCGCGATCACTGAAAAAAAATTGAGAACTAAAGATTCATATTTTTAGATTCAATAGATCATTCGCAAAAGAAACAACGATGTTACCATTTATCGCCAAAATAATTGATGTTGATTTGTCGTGAACGTAATTTTAATATAGGATATTTTTAAAACGAAATCTCTTTGACTGTGCCAGAATGTGTACTTGCACACATTGCACCAATACACGATGAGTTGCTCCAATGTCACGTGTGTTAATTCTTTACATGATATTTCACCTTTGACTTACTACATGCGGTATGTAAATGCTGAATAGTGATCACTTTTTGCCAATAAACATGTTTTGGGAAACTGCATATAAAGCCTGCTCCACACATTCGGCATTCGGCGAGCAGTGAGCAAATGCTCGCCCAATCCCGAACCGCTGATATATTTGGCAAATGTTCACTTCCTTCGATGCGCCCAAAAGACCGACTCGAGGTCCATAAGGCGAGCACCGAACGTTCACTCTTGGCAAATATCAAGCAACTCATCCACCCTATTTGTGATTTGGCGAGCGGTTGCTTCCTACTGGCCGAATACCGAATGTGTGGAACAGCCATGACCAAGTTACACGTATTGCATTTGCCCCTGAGAGTTAGGCAACCGCGTCTGCACTACTGCATTGCATGTATAGAGGAAGATGTATAAACGTGGAATATGGACACCAAAATGTCATACCGCATGATCTGACTTCGCAGGTGCTGCTATGTTGCGGAACACACTTGAAAAGGTGCACCGTCATGCATTTCGTCAATCCTATTTTGTTGTTGCAGAAGGTCGTGATTTTCAAGCATTAGAAACCTTCCTTTTTGTGAGGTGTACAAAACTTTTGTGGTTGAGTACAGACTATTGTGTAACTTACATATTACATTCTTTATGAACATCGAATATATTTTAGTTTGGAGCTTAGTCATTCAGATTAACAACCACACATTTATTGTCTGGTTTTCACATGCACTCTGCTTGTTTTTAGGTTCCGAGTGCCAAGATGGAGGTGTTACAAATATGGAATAAATCGATATTCCACAAATTCCAACATTCAGCAAGAACTAGACGTTGCTCTCAAGATGCAGAGTGTCTGTTCGGAAAATAGCAACACAGAGGTTTCAAATTTCTTCGAATTCATCCTATTGTTATCAGTCATGATAATGTTAGGTATGATTTTTTGGGAAAAGAAATAATAATAATAATAATAATAATAATAATAATAATAATAATAATAATAATAATAATAATAAATTTTACAAAATAACTACGATTATATTAATTAAAATAACATTTACATTTACATAATTATAATTGAGACTTTCAGGCGGGAACAATGGTAACTGACATTTCTCGTTATTTACGAAAGTGCAATAATCGTATTAATTAACGGAAATGTGCTGCACATAAATATTGAAACATAAAGTATGAATGTATTTTCACTGCCAATTTTCTAGACTCTCAAGCTAAACATGTGCTACACACATCGATTTTTCTTTATGAAGAACCCACAAAACAAAAAGAGAACCCATGTCTCTTACTTACAAAAATGGCATGTTATATCAATAATATTACTTTTTCAAAATGATAGAAATTATCTCCTACACCCGAATGCGTCAATTGTGAACAAAATACAAAAAAGAAGGGCAAATTCTACATTTATCTCTGCAATGCAAGACTAGGGACTATCCAGGCATATGCTTTGAGCGACTGAGTACACCCTGGAAAACTTCAATCAGGATGGCGGCTTAGATAGGTAACATTAGAGAATTCACATTAGAAAGAAAAATTAAAGGAAAAGTGTAAAGGCAGATGGAAGGTATAGGAAGTTAGAATTAATTATGAAATATAAGAAAGAGGGGAGGGAGAAATATAATATGACTATAAAGTTTTTCATATACATAAGTTTAGTTTTTCTAGTAGAACGCAGAAAATGGCTGAAGCCTACATGATAACCTGTAACGAAAAAGAAACAGAAAGCAGGCACATGATCAAGATAAATACAACAAAAGGATCATACAATGCAAAAAGTAAAAATGCGTGAAAACTTTATTATCTAATATTTAATATCCTTTGCTTTAGAACATTGGATTAGATAGGATGATACAGCGTTTGGCCTTTCAGAGAGTGTACAGATGAGAAAAGTACGGAAGAACGGCTTGGTGTCTTGAAATGTAACCGAATTTGGTCAGTGATGACAGCGTATGTGGTGTTCAATTAGGGTGTGAAAATGGGAACAGGAGCTTGTGTTATCTCTAGTTAATTTATTTAATTAAATATCTGAGATGAATTTTCTGGAATCAATAATATGTTTTAGATATGTGGGTAGTGGATTTCATATTCTAATTACAGTTACAGTAAATGACACACTGTAACATACTGTATTGTGCTGAGGTGTGCATACGAGTCATCGCGAGGAACGTGATAGTTCAAACGTCAACATTTTAAAGTTGTGCAATAAGTGCGTTTGATAGCTATTATGCAAAATTTTGTGGATAAAGAGGACTTTATGTTAAGTTCTCCTTTTTCCGATTGTGAGAATATTTGTTTGGCCGTAATACTCAGATACATGGTCGTATCTCCTAAGATCGAATATAAAAAGAGATTCATGCATTTTGTGCTATTTGCAATTTGTGTTGTTGCTTGAGCTTTAAATCCGTAAGCAAGAAATCACAATAATCGAAACGAGGCATAGTGTGTGAATTTACTAGGCGTATGTGGATGTTAATAGAAAGTAGTTCGATGACGCGTTTTGGAATGAAGACATGCTAAGACTATTTGGCAAATCTTACCTACTTCTGTGGTCCAGCTAAGTCTGCTGTCTATGAATATTCCTAAGTTCTTTACATCGCTACATCAGGAAACAGGAGAGTTACCTAAGCTTATTTCCTGTTGGGAGGATTTATCCAACTTATTCAAAGCGTTGCGAAGTCCTTCCACCAAACTTTGCGTCTTCATTGGATGTAATAAGAGACCAAGGGCTTCTGCACTTTTATGAAGAGCATTTAAATCATCGTTTATTTTCTGAGCTAATGAGTTTAATTCCGATTGATACCCACTTATATACGAGTAGATCTGGAAGACGTCAGCGTATATTTTGTGCTCACAGTAACTGAGGCATTGCCCTATGTCTTTACATAAATGAAAAATGCTAAAGGTCTTAGAACTGTTCCCTGCGCAATAAGCAGGAAAGTTTTATCGACAGTGGATTGCTTATCATAAGATATGACTTGTCGATTTGATAGATATTCAGAGAAACATCGTATTGTGGGTTTAGCGAAACAGAATATTTTCATTTTTTAAGCAGAATTTCGTGATCGTCAGAGTCAAATGCTTTACTAAGATCTAAAAGAGCAAGTATTGCTAATTTGCCTTTGTCAATGGAGGTTCTATCTTCCTCAATAATATTTAGAGAACAGTCCTTGTGTTTCTTCCTGATTAGAAGACATATTGTTGATCACTTATGAGGCTTTTGCTTTCAAGGTAACTTACAATTACTTACTTATAGGAAGGTGGTAGTTTTAGGAAGATGGTGAACAAGCGCGGTTTTACAATAGTTTATATACGTTCCACCTACTAGAGAAACGTTTATTATGTTGGTTACAATGGAGTATATAACTTTGCCTCTGAGTTTTAGTAATTTAGCATTGACATTATCTGTCACAGATGCGTTTGATTTGAGGCTCTGAATGGTTTTGAAAATGTCTTAAGGGTTTGTAAATGCACAAAAAATTCTTTCTGAGTGTGTAGGATCGTAAGATTAAGAGAGTTCTGTTGTTTCAGAAAAAAAATCGAAGTGACAAGCCAGCAAAACGCTGGTTAACAGTATCACGAGATGCATACATTTGCGTTGCAATTCGTAATTTGCCTAAACCTAAGGTGCGCAGCGATTTTCATACCTGTTTTAAATCTCTGTTCGTGCCAAAAATACTATGATAATATTTAATTTTAGCATTCCTAGATTTTTGTGTTACAAGATTTTGCAGTTTCTTGTATGCATCTTTCTCATGTTCGCACTTTGTGTTACGAAATATATTAAAAGCGATATCTCTGCTTCATTAACGCGCGTATTTTCTTGATTAATAAGTGCCAGGACACAGATAAGCCGAGGAAAATGCTTCCAAATTAAAGCACTTACAGTCATAGTACTTAAACATTTTGAGCGTATGTATCGGGCATTTCAAGCGGTATGGTAGGTATGTAGGTAATGTTTAGATATTCTGGGAATCACCACTTCCATGGTGATTTATTTTCTCGTGATTTGATACGATCAAATAATCAACCCATGTGTCTGCAGTGTTATGAGTAGCATTTAGCTGCAAAACCATAACGTTCATTTAGCAAAAGAAACGCTTTAACTTCTCGGCAAGCGTTACTGGTGTCAGACGATAGCAACATGGATCGCATGAATTGCAACATGGATCACTTTTATACAATAGATTTTTCATTGTATATAAAGCAAATATGTATTACATACATTTGGGTCAATGTTTATTGGCACATATGAGTTTTTTGGTACATGAAAAAAAGTATAAGCAAAAGCAAAAAAAAGTATATTTTCGTTCATGACGATGTGTTCCTTGTACTGAGTTGGACGAGTGGGTTCTTCTGGAGTCCGCTGAGAGCGTTGTCCGACGGAGCGTGAGCACAACGTAGTTCTTCGGATGAACGCCACGCGGCGTTGGCGGCGACGTGCTTCCTCAACAGGTGAGGAAGAGGACGGTGCGACCGTTTATTGGCTGGAGTGGGCGTGCGTTGCCCGCCATGGGAAGGTTCCTGGCATCACGGACGTTGTAGAATGCCTCCAACTGAAAAAAAGGTAAAAGTTTGTGAAGTGAAATTTGTGAAGTGTCGTTAACGAGTGCAGATCGCGCAAGAGCGAGATGGCTCGAAAATGTTTCTCGGGGTGCTTGGCCTGTTTACGAAATCAAATGCTACACTAAATGGAATGTTTTATTTCCTCGAACGTACTTCTATTTAATTATTCGATGCTGTATAATTTGAATTTTTTCTGAAATCAATGTGAAAATATCTAAATAATTATTTACGTTAGGCGAAATAAAAACATTGTTACATGAGTATTCTGAAAAAGTACGATTACTCAGAATATGAAGCAATAATGAAAATAAGGATATAAATACAAAATTGACATGAAACTTTTTACTTGTAAATTTTGAATTTTACTTACGTAATAAAGTGATATTATTGTATTTCTGTAGCGACAAGTGGCAATTTGCCGACCGATAAACTGGTATTGTGACACCCTGATTCACAAAAAGTGGATGATGTTTGCTCCTTGTTGTAGTAAAGCACTTCCTCTAATATGTCGTGTAGCAAGAATCCACGTTTCATGGATCTTTGATATCGTATACGGGAGTACGGCAAATCCCTGCCTGCGGATACTCCGTCCGTCGGGCGGTCATTTATGACTGCCTGTCCGTCTATCCATATGTCCTTCCGTGCGTCCCTCCAACCGTTTGTCCCAGCCTAGCAGCACACAAAGATATTAAACACCGAGAACGCCCCTGTTCTGTCTATCCGTCTGTCCGTCTATCGGCATGACTTTGTCTCGGCCGTTCTGTCAGTTCGTCGTTAAAAATGTCGGTCGTGCAGTCTTTCAGTCGATCGGTCGTTTGTTCTGTCTGTGTGTCGTTCGTACCTACATCCTAATCGAGCACTTTATTTTCGTATCCTTGTGTACAAGAGGGAAGTCATTACTCGATATTGATGAATCGTATACACAGATGACGCTGTTGTGTCCAAACGCATGATGCATTTGGCCATGTGCGCGATATTCACAGGGGCGTAGCTTGGAAGTGTGTCTGAAGGTTCAAGCAAGTGTCACGTATGAACGATAACGAATGTTTCTTTGTATTATTATATTAGGATATTTATATAAAGATACTAGATATAAAGAAATGTTGGTAGGAAAGGTTTGCAATGCGTAAATAAATGTATGTTGTATATTTAGCGCGCAAAAATGATTTTACCAGTGCCCTTATGCACCTCATAGCACACACAAGACAACATTTGACATACCCTTCCGCGACTACGTCCCTGATATTGTCTACAGTATTTATCAATTGAAGAGACCAATCTCTCTCTGAAATTTCTATGAACTTGAAGAATGTTGGGCTGTTATTAATTTCAAATATTTTATTTGAAAACAGTTCCTGAAATTCAAAGTCATCAAGTACTGACAACTCCTTAACAAATTTGTTTACGATCGTTGCATAATATTATCCGTAAACCTTGAAGTTACTGATTCGCCGAGATCCATACTTAATCAATCGAAGCAATGCGAGACCAAACGCATTTGGCGTAGGAACAACACGTGAGAAATAAAATAGTTAAGGGAACATGAATTATTTGCCATCAGCATAAAAAAACAAGGACAATTTTTGTCAAATATTCTAGAATTGTCAGAATATCACAAACAAATTCAATAACAGTGGCTCGTGTAGATTTTATCATTTCGTGAAGAGTGTTGAGAATTTATATTTTACTGGAAAAAGATAATTTTTTCTGTTGTGCTCCCTTCTTTCAAAAATACTCCACCATTGCTTGAGCATAAAAGCGAATACAGTTCAACGCATTATCACGATAGTTAGTATGCTTGCTAAAAACAAATAACTATTCAAACAACACTTCAATAAGAGTTTCCATTATTGAAATTAACATGACGTGTGCTAATACAAAGAAAGTTGTCTTTTCTAATCTGTGTAGTTAATATCGCGTGCTATGAACGTTGCACATTATGATCACTTCATTACAAGTGCACACAGATGGTATTGTATTCTTTCGCGTTTTCCGCTTAAGTGCTTTCATAAAGCAACTGCCAGACAAACACATGTGTCACTTTCGAACATCAATGCGTGGTGATGTCATTTCAGCCCGTGATATAAAACTTGAATTGACGAATCACGAACTGTAAATGTTAAGAACGTACCTGTAATAATAGATCAAAATATCCGTTTTTCAATTTTTTTGTAAAAAATACTTTTGAACACACATTATTATTATTATTACTATTATTATTATTATTATTATTATTATTATTATTATTATTATTATTATTATTATTATTTACAACGTTGCAGGAGGAATACACTAATTTAGAGTTACGAATATAACAAAAACAAGCACACGTTGATTGTATGTACGCCACGTTTAACAGGTATCACATATAAACAATAAGAAAAGTAAACATTAACTAGTGGTGCTTGGCACAGTCTTTCCTATAGTTTTCTATTTCCTTTGGTCTGGGCTAACCATTTGGACTTGCCACATACTCTCGTCACCTGATATCTATCGCCGTCCAATTATGAAATTATTTGAAATTTTCTTAATTTTTCGTTTTCCTAAAGATATAACTGAAATATTATCTTACGAATATTAAAGAAATGTGGTAATTTTCTAAATACAAAAGAATGCAGCGAAATTTATTCTATGTCATCTTAAACAGTGCAATTAGCACATGCACCTTAATTAATGTCAAATAAAGTTTGTCGAAAACTTAATCGTTTACTGTGAAAACTAGCTCAAATTCCGCGTTAAAAAATGCTGAAACGCAATTTTCTCAAAAATGGCTCCAATTTTTTTCTTCAAACCTTTTTCGAATGGATAGGGATATTGCACTCTTTAATAAAACGTAAAGTTCATTTCGGGATATTTTTTTTGTTTTTTCAAGTCACAAAAATGTAATTTCTTTGAAAGATATCAATAATCCGCCGTTTTTTCGCGCAGCTTTACATAACTTTCCCTACATAACGTATTTTACTCCCCATATACGTATGTATACCGGAAAGTAAAAAAAAGGTCGATGAAGTGAATTACTTTTCTGAACACGTGCTACCAATGTAAGTAAATTAAAAAAATAACGCGACAAACACTTTCTTTAATTAGTCCTTTTTCTCAAATCAATTTTTACAAGTTATTTAATTTAAACAGCCGGATATCACCGAGAAGAAACAAACAGTGAACAAAAAGAAAAATGAAGTGAATAACTGGAAGGTTATTGACATTTTCTGTAAGGGGTTGAAGTGTGGTCCTTCGGACTGCGAGAGGTGGGTTATAGCATCAACCGATGCCACTGCACTACCTCTGATCAAGAGGTTCTGGGGTTCGAGTCCCGACGTATGCCGGGCAGTACCCTTTCAAACGGCCACGAACAGCGCGCTATTTTTCCTTCCCCTTCCTTGGCATATCCCACCCCTAACACACCCTTTCACTTACATGTACTACCACAAATGCCTGGAGACTGGGTGGGAGCATAGAATCTGTCCCCGTTTGGGTTTTGTCCCAGTGGTGGGGCAGTGCTTGGGAAAACCCCAGTAGCCAACGGTAGGTCGGCGCCGGATCACCGCCACTTCCCGAGGGACAACACGCACTACACTTACGGGACTAAATACCTTAGTTGTTGACGCGCCCGGAATCACTAGTAATCAATCAATGTGTCACGTCGCCTTATCTCAACACATTATTTTCAACACATTGCGAACTTAACATAACCATGATAAATAAATAAAGATGTTGTCTGGTATTAATACTTTTTATTCAGCTTATGATCGTTTCGATCGCATAGCGATCATTCTTAGAGCTAAAATTTGAAATACAAATATTATTAACTGGATGTAGTTATTGTATGCAAGATGCGTAAGCAAACTGCAGCTTCATACCTTGCAGCCTTGCAGATTAAAATTCTTAAACAAGACGAACACTCAAAAATTCGCAGAACTTTGTTTTCGGCCCGGAAGCAACAAGGTATGTACGACGCAGTTTGCTTACGCATCTTGTATACAATAACAACATCCTGTTAATAATATTTGTATTTCAAATTTTAGCTCTGAAGATGATCGCCATGCGATCGAAAGGATCATAAGCTGAATAAAAAGCATTGATACCAGACAACATCTTTATTTAGTTATCATAATAAAGGTATCTACCTCACCATCTAATTAATTAATTAACAGAACCACTTCTACTCTTCGGCCCTCTGAAGAAGTCATTTTATTGACTTACGTACGATTCATCTCTTTAACGTTCTTCGTGGGTGCCACGTACCTGCCTCTCCTCGACGCACATGGGCGCTTCGCGCACCAGCCACGTGACGCCCTCGGTGCAGGGGGGCGTGGTGAGGGAGCCCGTGTACGCGAAGTAGCCGCACGCGCGCAGGTTGGACGGCATGACGCGCTGCGGCGCCAGCGTGAAGCTCATGGAGTCCCCCACGTCCGCCAGGTGCTCCACTGCCTCCGCCACCTCGTCCATGCCCGCCATGCTCCGCGAGAAGAACAGACGGCCCAGGCGGCGCTCGCACGGCTGTAATAATAATACAAACAATAATAACAGTAATAATAATATAATAATAATAATAATAATAATATAATAATAATAATAATAATAATAATAATAATAATAATAATAATAATAATAATAATAATAGGTTGTAATTGCAGCCATAGCTAACAAAGTATTCAAACATCTACTGAAAAACCATCTGTTGGCAGTTGAACACTAGGGATGTCGTAAAGGTTCCTATGGCTCTAAGGTAATCTTTCTACTAAAGACATCTTGAATGATGTAAAGAAATAAATACATTTAAATCTCAGGTGTGTGCCAAAATGTGCCATCATGGTCACAAAATAGTGTTTCCAAGCACAGAACCTTGGTACATTACTAGTTTGTGCACTGAACTCCAAAGTTATATTTTACAGACTACTTACGGTCAGTGAAATTTGAACATTTTCGGCTCAGATTCATTAAAGTTTTTGTCGACTCACCGAAGCCGATAAAGTCATTAGCATCAAATAGAAACACGCGACGTACTAAGGAAAAATCAGTTTATTATTTTTAATATTAATTAGGCATGTACAATAGTGTCGAAATTTAATTTACTCCCAGAAAATTTACATTATTATGAGAAAGTTAAATGAGCATCCCAATTATATTAAATTCCTTTATGTTTGCAACTGTTGCAGAGACTTCAGGAATAACAAATATCAATTGGATTGTATAATTCTAAAGAACCTGTAACAAGTATTGTAATTCAGCTTCTGGGTCAATGACCCTCATCGCGATCAGGTTTTCGTCCACTTTCCCTAATCCTTGACTTAATGCTTAGATGTCCCCTTGATTGGCTTCTGGCCATAAATTCAATTTCAATTTAACTTCTTCCCATTGCACGTCACACAAAGTTTTTGACTGCTTTTTACGTAAATAAAGAAATGCTAACGCCATCTTGATAATGCAACTAAATATTGTTCTTATTTTCTGAAATCATAATTTTAACATTTTCAATAACCTAAAATTATATACTTACATTCTATAATAATATATGTGATGAAAACAAAGGTTCTATGAATTTCATTTGACGTTTCTTATTAAGCCGAGACCATTTCTCGTCATTGGACATACTTTTCAATACGTATAAACCGGCAAGTGAACTCTCTCTATAATATTAATATACTCTTTAAACAATAGGAAAATTAAACTTACCACAAACACGTAGCCTATCACCAATATCTGCTCTCCGGTTGAGTCTTTGTGCACCATATGCATTTCCAAGGGATAGCTGAGAAGAAAAAAAAAGTTTGATAATATTTCAATAGCAACTATTAAGGCTAAAACCATCAACCATTTGTATTTCTTATATGGAATGAAACTGGCTTTTTAAATCAATAAATTCAATTGTGAGTATCCAATCTTTGTTGATTTAAAGAGAAAAGTAATTGTATCGGAAATGACCAAGATCACATTTGCAGCCAATTTTCTACAACACACTCTCACAAAATCTCCACATTTTAGTTTAAAAATAAAAGTTTCCCATTTTCTTTCGTTGATTGACTACTTGCTCGAAGCGTGGATGAATGGATTGTGAGAATACAATTCTACGTCTACTAGCGCTCCTTTTCTTAAGTAGGGGTTTGGCGCGACTCAGCATAGCAACGGTTGTGATTCAGTCGTACCCTCCTAAGCCGTGTTGTGCACCGGATATAAAGAAAGGTGCCCGACAAGACAAGACCTGCGAAGCTGCAAGCAATACCAAATCTTACTTTTCGTGGTCAATCCAATGCTCACTCTGCCAGTGGAAGTGCAAAGACTGTAAGTAGTATACTCCGGATGCTGTGGGGCTGGAGATGGAAACTCGGGGATGCGTTATAATATTCGTGAAGTTAAAATCCAGGTTCACTGAAACAAATGATAGTAAACACATTAGATTCAACAAAATTTTATGTATCAGGCTCGCTTTACGAATCATAGCTTAATTTTCGTTCCAAGTTTTTCCACTCTCGTTTACTTCAAGACAAAACATTAACAAGCATGCTGTGCAATCTTGTAAAGCATTATTTCATAATCGCCAGGGTAGTCATGTGTCAGTTTTCTGTATGTGAACATAGTATCTTAAGATGTAAAGCTAAAGAAGATGAATAGTAATGGTATTCTGACCTTTCTGACTTTTGTTAAAACAGACTAATTTTTCTAATAATTTATTATTTTTTGACTACTCTGTGGTATGTTTCAAAAACATTCGGCACCATGTTTGATAAAAAGGCATACTTAAAACAGCATTCATATAAAAGCTGTCAAAAATATAAAAAAACAATTATCTAAAAATTCAAACTGCTTAACATCGCCTAGTCAACTGAAAAAACCTATTTTTGAAAAAGGTTTTTAACTAGGTTTGAAATGTCAAATTAATAAAGTATTAGCACATATAAAATTTAAGTGTCCTTTTTAATGCAATGCCAGAATACTGATACAATTAAAAGAGATAACATATTCCTTTAAGAAGACGAAGAAATTTGTTGTAGGAAATTTAGTTTGAGAATCCATGGTAGCGTCCGATCTGTGGCGTGAAAGGCTAATGTGCACAACATTGCTTCTCACGAGATTACTTGAAAAAATATCTGTTACGGATAGAAATTATTAAACAACAATTGGGCATTTTTCCTGTACAAAACGTTTTTGAATTTTGTTTTTATTCCATGTACAAAACCTCAAAAAGTTGTAGTGGCGAAGGCAAAAGTTTAGCACAACATGTTTTTGAGTTTTCAAAATAAATATTAACTCATCTAATAATAATGTGTGATATATATTAAAATATTAGGCATGTAGGCTGTTAGGCATATGATACGTGAATAAATAGTGGGTTAAGTTATTTTTTCGTCATAGCATGATAAAGTGTATATCCGATTTGGGGTCAAATAATTTTTATATTTCATTATTCTTTAAAAGATAACAGTTCTTTGTTAGGCTCGTAAAGATATTTTGAGAAACATTTTTCGCTATCATTGGCAGGTTAAATAAAGAACTGAAATTCATTAAAATAAGTGAATAAAACAAAATACCAGAATGGCCATTGTTGCTGAAGACTCCCGTCGCGGCGCTGTCGTAGTTGTGGAATTTGATGTCGATATCTCCCAGTTGGAGCAACCATCCTGGCGATCTGGACGCATCTTCTATGTTGAGCATAACGGGGCTCTGCAGGTTGCCGTTACACGTCGAATAGGTTTCACCCCATGTGGAAGGTCCTGCACATGAAACACTTGCTTGCGATATCCATTTTCCCTCCTTTTGCATCCAAAAGAGGGATTCTTGTTCTCTTTTTTTAATCTTTCGATTTCGAAATGTTTTAACTTTGTACATTTTAATCCTTTAACTTGATTTAGATTTATTTACTCAAAAAACAGAAAAAAACTGTATGTGACGTAAGGGGGAGAAGATTGTACAAACCGTAGTAAATGTTTGTCGTAAAATATAAAATAATACCCTTTTTATTATTAATATCAATAATATCGATATCACAGAGTGCATTTTTCCATGCACAATTTCTACAAAAAACATATTCTTGGTTTGTTGGCAATCGTTAAAAAAATGAATTGTCTTTGCATTATAATCAAATGTAATGCCATGGGACTTCATACTTTTAAAACAGGTGTGACAGTAATAATAGGCATGAATAATGAAACGCATTGGAATACAATTTAGACAATATCTACGATCTGAAAAAAACTAGCGGGAATGAATGGAATCTATATTGTATGTACTGAAAAGTAGTGAGCACATTCCACCATTTAAATTTTTAAAAAACATAAAATATTCCCACTTGCTTCAAACTACCACAATACTGAACGTAGGACATATAATAATGAAGAAAAGAACTAATATAATTTATCTATTGTCCCATTTTATGTGTAAATTATGAATATATCTTATTAATTTTGACATTGCAAAAATGTAGCTCGACACCGTACTTTTCGGACATTTTTATTCTCAATCATGTTTAGGGGATGTAACATCCAGAAACCATTATCAAGTCAAATTTCATACAAATTTCCAAACTTTGCAATTTTAACTGGTCCAGACGGAAACAAATTTGGAGTTTGGAATTTAATAAATTAACATGCAACAACAAATGAACATTCGCCACTTTAGGTAATGGAAGTTAGATAGGTAGAAATATATGAAGGCGCGAAATGTTCGCTACTGAGAAATAGAAAACTTATTTGCATCGGTAAACCACATATTTGAATTTGTAGTAGTTTTATTGAGTTTAACAATATAGCAATCCGCATCTACTTCTAAAATAATTAGCAAAAGGAGATCTCAACGAATCGTGCATATAGTGAAGTTTTCCTTCCAGAAGCAAAAGAAAGGGCCATTTGAATCTTTATAGATTAGGGGAGAGAGTGAATGAAAAAACTGAACAAAATTAATAAAAAATATGGTCAAGAATTGTATCTAATTTGATTTTATACTTTTTAACCAGTTCTCTGAAACAGTAGTAGTGTTTTAGTATTCCTCTACCCCCTGACTAATTACTAACAATTTTAATTCTGGAACACTGTAACTTTGGAGTTGTCGACAACGCTCAACATCAGCGAAACAATATGCGATTGGCAGCAGTGAAGCTGCAGAAATCTTTCATTTCAATTTCATTTTTATTTATTAGAAAATAGATCAATTCCGTCGAACAAAACTGTCGATGCTGCGGGGGTGTTTGTTGTTTTGTTTCTTTCAGTAGACTGCAGTACAATGAATTTATGCGATAACAGATAATGACAGGGTTCAAACCATCATTTTATATATATATATATATATATATATATATATATATATTGGTTGTTGAGGGCTCATAAGTTTTGGAGATCCAAGTGGAAGTGGTTTTGTTTGACAAACTTGTTATAGTATTTGTTGAAATAATATATCAAACCATTGCCGAGTCTCAACATACGTGATAATGCTTAAAATAGTATTTTATTTTGCATGAATGTTAGGTTATTCGACTACGTCGCCTCCGCATCTGATACTAAGGATCCAGATATCGCAGGGCTGATTAGACTTGGGCAGCACGACGAGGAGAATTAACTTGGCCACCCACTTGATGGTGAAACTTATTTCATTTCGGCCTGTAGGAAGTTGCTTACTAAAACAACACGTAATCTCAGTTAATAAAAATGTGTATTAATAATATGGGATACAACTTTCCAATTACACTAGGCTCTTAAACTAATTTGATATCGTTTCGGCAGGCAAAGGTGGATCAACTGACGTCACCACAGTGCCTCTAACCAAGGGGTATTGGAGCTCGAATCCCGACGGTGGCAGGATTTTCGACTCTGGCTCGGCAGTTATATCGAATTCAGCCGGGGTCTCGAGAATTTTAGCGGCCGTGGTTCCTCCGATCACCCCTTGGTGAATGCCAGAGTAATGCTCTAGCAAACAGGCCACGAACCGTGCGTGATTATAGTCTCCAGTAAGGTACTTGAAGATCAATAAGATGGACAAAAGTTTAAATATTGAAGACCCTGTTCTAATTAATTTAATGTCGTAACTTTCCAGTATAGCAATGTATTTTGATGACTTGAATAGGTGTAACTTGATCACTGAAGTGCTACTATAAATGTAACAATTTAAAAACCAATATTGCGGTTGTTTGGCATTTTGTTCTTTTGAAGCAGCTCACTGAACAGGAACGGCTGCGTTTGTGTGTTATGTATGAGTTATCGTTGTGTCGATGATTTATTGTTTTAGACATCACATTAAATTTAGTATGGTTGACATGTGGATGAAACAAAACGAATTACAAACCCATGATATCCGGTTACTCAATTTCGTTGCAGATGAATGTTTGATAATTGATTTGATTAAAATCCTGGAAACTCAATAATTTTAGTTTTATAATAACACTCAGTAGTCAGTTCATTTAAGTCGTATCTGATATTAAATAAATCACGTTGCATGTGATAAGCTGTTCATAAACAAGAACTTTATCTCCATGAAATGAACCTCCAAAAATACTCCGGACATTTGGGCTGTAACTGTCAGTGATAAATTACCACTCGGCTTAACGTGAAGTGCCAAATTATGGAATCGGTCTTAAATGTGTCAGAATCGATACTGACGAAATATAACGTACCATTTTCATGATAATCCCAGTGTTCTGAAACAAAAAGAAAGGTATCATATTATACACAGTTCTAGTAAGTACCTTCTGCTGAAAATAATTATATTAAGAAGATAATGAAAGATAACAATGACTTAAGTTATAAAAAACCCTTGATGACCGAAAAGTTTTTTTATTGTGCATTATAAATTATTTACAGTCATTAAGTCGCTACAAAATGCACTTTTATCGTATATTTGTCTTGTTTCCTTCAGTGCCTCTTTTGATTATCGACATAAGACAATATTTCCTTTTGTTCTCTAGAATCAATTTGCAATTTGGAGTCTACTGTCACTTTAGTTTAATTCAAAGTCATTGTATTGTTTAGTCAATAAAATACAGATGTATGTGTTACTCAAGTTACATTTTCTAAACATATTATTTTTATTCACTCAAATTGTGAAAACAATATCGAGATTCAAAAAACAATGAATTTCAACGGTTTATGAAATGCAATCGTAGAGAGATTGGAGGAATTACATATATATTATTCCTATTAGTAATAATACAAACCCAGAAAACAAAGATGCGAGGGCCATAACAAACCCAGAAAGACACATAGCTCTTGTGTAAGTCAGTAGATCTCAACTAATCTCAGTAAAATTCAAATAATACAAACAAATATTACAGAGGTGTATCTTAAGGTTAGTGGTACATTAGCAATCTTCAGGTTTAGAGAGAATTACAGGATCTATTGCGTCACTGATAGTATAATATGTCGTTAAAGTTAATCAACTTTCAGCAGAGGAAAAAAAACATTTTTCGCCACGATTCAGTGAGGTGACAAAAGTCATGGGAGTGCAAAATGCAAATATATAAATGGCAGTAGTATCGCGTATAAAAAGTTTTAAAAGGGCAGTGCATTGGCAGATCTTTCACTTGTACTCGACTGATTCATTTGAAAAGGTTTTTGACATGGAATTGTCATGGAAACATTTGAACGTGAATTGGTAGTTAGTGCTAGTCGTATGGCACAATCCATTTCAGAAATGTTAATTCAATATTCCGAAATCCATCCTGTCAATAGTGTGCCACGAATGCCTAGTTTCAGGCATAAACTCTCAACAGGCAACGCTGAGAGTGGCAGCCTTCACTAAATGACCAAGAGTAGCGGTGTTTGCCTAGAGTTGTCAGTGCTAAAGTCAAGAGTCTCAGTCAAAAGTCCCAGCGTCAAGTAACCGCAGAAATCATTGTGCAACGTACGACAAACGTATCCGTTATGATAGCGCGGCGAAAATTTGCTTTATTGAGCTATGGTATCAGAAGGCTCGACTGCCTTTGTTAACAGCATGACATAACTTGCAGCGTCTCACCCGGACTCGTGACCATGTCGATTAACGACTGGAAAACCGTGACTTGGTTAGACAAATCCCGGTTAGATAAGAGCTAATGGTTGGGTTTGAGTGTGGCGCAGACTCCACGCAGCCATAGACCCAACGTGTCATCAAGGGACTGTTTAAGCTGGTGGTGGCTCCATAATGATGTAGGCTGTTTTTACATAGAATGGACAGGATCTTGTGGTCTAACTGAACTGATCATTGACATGGAAATGGTTATATTATGCTACAAGGAGACTATTCATGGACGTCATGTTCCCAAACAATGGTGGAATTTTTATGGATCGCAAAGGGCCTATGACGGATCCGGATCCACAATTGTTCGCAATTGGTTTAACATTTTGGACAATTTGAGCGAATAATTTGGCTCCTTGATCGCCCATCATGAATCCATCGTTCACTCATGGGTTATAATCGTAAGATCAGTTTGTGCTCAAAATCCAGCACCGACAACACTCTCGCAATTATTAACAGCTATAAAGTCAACATGTCTCAATATTTCTCTAGGAGAGTTCCAACGACTTGTTGAGTCCATGCTATGTAGAGTTACTGCATTTCGCCGAACAAAAGTAGGTCTGACACGATATTAAAAGATATAAAATGACTTTTGCCACCTCAGTGTATTGTGCTATAAGTATTATAAATGTTAAATCAGCACTTACGTTTAATAATAACTGGCATTCTTAATTATTTATGTTTTTCATATTAGGTGCGCATCAGACATTTTTTGACAAAATTATCTATCA